CTTTAGAGCCCCTCAGACTGCGTGGCGTACGGCCCGTAGTCCTCAAAATCGACAGGCCTCGAAGTAACGAATTCTGACCTATGTCTTGAAACAACCCACGTAGCTACTACAGAGTGGAGAACTGGAACACCCTCCCCAGAGAGAGTACTACTACTACTACTACTTACAGAACTACTACTACTACTACCACCATTACTACTACTACTACTGCTACGATGCTACTACAACTACTACCACTACTACTACTGCTACTACTACTACTGGGGCGTAACACACTGTTAGAGCCAGGACCTGCCGCCAAGAGGTGCTGGAGGGCAATGGAGGTCATCGGAGCCAGTGCTCTGATGTTTGCTGAAAGCTGTGCTGCTGTTGCTGTGCTTGGAGTAGGAGCAAGCGATCTCTTGCAACTTCGCCTGGTTGGAGCTGCAGGGCTGTTTGATACACCTTCAAGGTGTGCGCGGTCCAAAGTTGCCCTCTGTCTGTGGAGTGCTGCCAAGGCCAAGTCCCTTTGAGGGCAGCAGGCCGATTGGACACGATGAACACGAGAACACGTGCTGCGTATGCCACAAAGTTGCGAGTGAAGCGCGCGAGAGCGTGCTAAGTGCTCTACCAGCCGCGTCGTTGCTTTGTTGACCATGATGCTGAGCATGCCCGAAGAAGTTGAAGTTTTTCCTGCCGTGCAACAACAATATGCATTGCACTTCTTTCCTTTGTGGTTGTGACGACCTTGAGAGCTTTGAGCCTGGAGCATGTGGCATACGTTGCAGGATTCATGGTCGTAGAGGCTCTGGAGCATTCCTTTATGGCACCAACAGTGATTTGCAGTGCTGAGTGCTCTTTTTCTTGCTGTGTGTGGTGTAGTTGTGACATGCGTGCAGAGTTGCAAGTCACAGTGTGCGAGAGACCAAGTGGAGGGAGCAGCTACAGGAGCGTGATTCACACAAAGAGAGCTTGTCGGGAACAAGCGTGATATGGTTGTGGAGATCTGCAAATTGCGGAGCAGTGTGCAAACCTTGGAACGCGAGTTGACAGCCGCCAGAGCTGCCATTGGGCCGCCGTCTGTGATTTACTGTACAGATCGACAGGTGCTGCCACCATGAGACCTGCCACCATGTGAGGCAACCAGTGCAGTGCAAGGTTCCGTGGTTGAATGGACATGCAAGTGGAGAGCCTACATGTGCGGACATTTACGGATGTCAGGCCTTACGACATCCAGTCCGGTTTCACAGTGAGCTTCGATGAAACATTCATGCGCAGCTCAGGCGGGGTGATGAAACCAAACGATTTCCCGTTCGCCTACTTTTGCAGAACTGTACAACAGCACAACATGCACGTGTACACGTACAAACTTGTTTTCCGTGTTTCGCATGTCATGAGAACATGTGGAATGCTGCGACTCAAGAGTGTGTGGAAAAGCTAGTTCCGCTTTTCAAATCCTTCGGACCTTCTTTCAAGAGGAGAGTGGTTGCTGCCAGGTGTGCTCAGAGCGAAAGTGGAGACAGGTGTTCTTCTCTCGCTTCTTCAAAGTGCAAAGGTTCAGGCGCAGGCGCAAGTGGCGCGGCAAGGGTAGGTGGGGTTCTCGTGCAAGTACAGGGGCAGGGCAAGGCACTTCGATGCCCCACTTCAAGGCAAAACCAGAATACGAGAGCTGTGAGTTGCATCATTTCATATGAAATATATTGGAATGATGAGTTGAGATATATCTCAGATTTTTATATTTGTAAGACATTGATGATACACCCGGTTGACACATAAAGAGGAAATAAGACGCAACTCCACGAACAGTGGATGAAGTTTTATTTCCATGTGTCAAGAATTTTTTTTGGTGAAACAAAACCAAATGTTCAGGGTGTAGTTCCCAGTGTCTTTTGAAAGAAACACATGTCAGTGCATGTCATGAGCCAGTGTTGAATCCTTTGTCCTCGGTGAGTTGGCTCCACAGGGTGGNNTGTCCGAAGTCGGCTCCACAGGGTGGTGGGAGGGTAAGAAAAAAATTTTCGGCTAAGACCGGAGAAGTTTTGTCCCACCCAACCCGCCCTGGTGTTGCACAAGTGGTGCGGTTGCACAAGTGGTGCATGTGCAAGTTGCACTTAATTTTCCATCCTGTACAAACATTGTGACTTGAACGATTGCGGACTTACAAGAGCAAAGCGCCCTGGGCCCGAGCCCAAGGCAAGGCACTTCGATGCCCCACTTCAAGGCAAAACCAGAGTGCGAGAGCTGTGAGTTGCATCATTTCATAGGAAATATATTTGGAATGATGAGTTGAGATATATCTCAGGTTTTTATATTTGTATATACATTGATGATACACCCGGTTGACACATAAAGGGGAAATAAGACATCATCACTGAGAATCTCTGCCTCAACTGCTGGGGTGGAATGATCATAGGAACGAGGCACGAAGACAGTGCCAGCTTCGAACAACTACACTCCCCACGTCTTTCGAACCTGTGCGGATATCCACGGGTGGGCCCGGCAGATTCCCATCTGCCTGCACTTCCGTCAGCATCGCTTCACGCAGGATGTCTGAGCGGTACCCTGCCCGTGCGGGGAACTCCGCCAACCCCTTGGCATTGGAGGGGGATGCGAGCTATCCTGGTAGATACCCTAATCCCAACACCCAAGGGCTTGTGCCGCAGGCTACCCCTTGTAGTTCTTGTACAGCTACGCTTTTACCACTGCGCACCGCAGCCCTTTTATGGCTTCGAGAAAAGGGCGTCTTGCTTTGAGCCCGGTAGGACCCCGTAAGTAGAAGCCCGGTTTTTACCCTTCGCATTTTGGGCATTTAAGCTGGTGTCGACTGCTTTATGGATGTTCCCACGAAAAAGCACGCACACCAAAGCGATGTTGATGTTGTTGATGACAAAGACGACACCTGTCCTTCACTTTGTTACCGTTGAGCTCGGAGATGTTCATCAACGAAGTTAGCTTAAAGTAGTATTTTCATATAAAGAGACGCATATTCTTATTTTCCATTTCCTTCAAACCAAAGGCGTCGCCACACTTTCCGCGAAACTGTCCGATGGTAAGGTCGATAGAAACGGGGATGTTTTTATCCTTTCCCTTGAACTTGATGGTGTCATTCATCTCTTTTTGGGTGGTGGTGCTGTAATTTCAACTTCGCTTCAGTTTTTTTTCAAGAGTGCTCACAATTCAAGGCACTAAAGCACCTGCATTAAGCGTGTCAATCGCTCCTCGTTGAAGTTGATGACATCGTGGAAGACAAAGAAATCGCTGATAATTGTAAATGTATATATTAAACAGAATCATGTTACACCCTGAGTATTGATAAATATCGTTGTAAAAAGAGATAGGACGACAAGCCCCAGAAAACGTGTGAGGGCGATATGATGAGTGGGAAACGGGTAAGGGGGATATTTATGATAGTAACAAAAAAAGAATGACAACAAAAATATTAGGGATGAGAAATGAGGTGACGAACAAAAGAGGGGGCGAGAAATGATATAACGGATAAAATTTAGATAATGATAAAAACGAGGAAGGTGGCTATGATATGAAACGGGTGAAGGGCGACACAAGGTATGATACGCGCCCCGCAACGTACAGTGACACGTTAGAACCATCCTTTTGCCGCTTTACGAATTTTTTCAAAGGTCTCCCACACATCCTGATTTTCGGGGTCGTGGCTCCCGTAGGCCGTGCCCTTTCCACCTCCATATTTGACCGCCCGTGCCGCAAAGTCCTCATAGGAATCCACGTCACTGTCGGCAACGGGCGCAACGTCTTCAGAGATGATGTCGTAGACCACGCTCGGCGGGGTGATCATCCGCACTTTTCGAACCAATCTTGGCTGCTGGGTGGTCGCCATAGAGGTCGAAACGGGGCTCGCCGAGGAAGAGGGCACCTTCGGTACGGGCTCCGAAGGCGGCTTTGGAGGCACCGGGACCCAGGCAGGCGCTCCGCTACCATGAAAAAACAAGAAGCCGTCGGTCGCACTGCTTTTGCCCCGGACATGCAATGCATGTTGCACCGTATCTCTCAAAGGCATTGAAAGACGTGTCAAGCGCGGTCTGCTAGGCTCAACACCTTTCCCAGTTCAGGCTTTGAGGGGGGCAGGCAATCCCAGACCAGCGGTTTCGAGCCCCAAGATGCAGGCATCTGCGCTCAGGTTCTGAAATTTGCACTGTACTCAATAGCAGGTGTCGCCCCCACTACTATCTCGCAGGATGTTTCGGAACAACGAGGTTAATTTCTGATCAACACGCTTCGCGACCTGCATGGCTCAAGGCGCAACTTGTCGGGTCGGCAGGGGAATGGTTGGCACAAGTGGTACAAAGGCGGCTTCGTGGTGAGTGATGCGATATCTTGCATCTCGCTTGACTCATTTATGACATGACGTCTTGAGGCACCTGCAAAATGCGACTGGCCAACCCCACTTCGTCGAAGGCAACTGGTCACTGGAAGTATGTTTGGACACCCTAACACGGGTGGTGTCAGGAGCTTTCGAAGAGCATCTGCGCACACCGGCAGACCATGCTTCTGCCCGCATCGTGTAGTAGGCTCCGACACCGTGTTGCTCTGAGGTCTGGAACGAGTGAAGTGAGACATGTCTTGAGGTAACATGTTGCCCTTGTTCCTGAAAGCCTTCGCCTGTCTGGCCGTGGCCTGAGACAAGCGTAATGGTGCTGCTGTCAGAACAAACCAGCTGCAGACATCGTCCCATCCGCTTATGCAGCAATTAGCGCCGTTGGGCGCTGCAGGCACCACTAGCCCGTGCACAATGCGACAATGCGACTGCGAGTGCCAACCTTAGCCGTAGAGTTTTCATACTGTTCTCCGTGCATTCATTTTCGCACAGGCAGTACAGTTTGTTCTTGGTGTTGCTGGTTGGAGGTTTCCTAGATTGATCAGATGGTCCGTTGATCATGCAGTAAGCGTAAAGCAGTTGGCTCGCATGGAATGCAACGAGGCTTCCGCGATGTAAGCACGTTGCAAGGACAGGAATAGAACTGAGGCGACTGGCTGCTCTACGACAACGGCGCGCCGGCGCCCAAGAGATGCACAGCGGGCACTGCACCAATTTCTGGGGCATTTCTGCGAGTGGTGTGTGTCGATTGTGTCTTCACCTAGGTCCTACTTGAACCTGCCGGAGGTGGACAACTGGTCCAGGTGTCTTGTCGAGAAAAGCACAGCTTGCAGGAAGCGAAGTGCCTTTGTCGTGTTTTGCGTAGCATTTGGAGGCTGAACGATGCCCAGACGGTCTGGCGGAAGCTGAAGCTCCTGCAAGATCCCGAAGTGGGCGACGCATCCGTCTGGGCCTGAGTTGCCCTCTGAGAGCTTAGTTGACTTCTTTAGGGATGCAGAAACTCGAAGCGCAGACTCCGAGGTCATCGTGAGCTTGGTTGACACAACATTTGCTGCCCGCTCCCAAGACAACTTTCGGCAGTTTTCTGAGAGCTCACCTTAGCTGAGGATGTTTCTGGCGCAGAAGTGTGCATGGCTAAGATCAAGAGTGCACGATGAAAGCTGCGAAGGCTTAGATACTTGAGCTCTGAGGGCACCCTGGGGCCTCGCGTCGGACTGTCGTGGGTCACCGTTCAGCGGCACTATGCATCCCGGAACAAAAGGAGCACTTGCTTTGCTTGGGGGTTTCCTCTTGTTGCGAGGCAGGTCAATCTGCTGAACACCCCCTTCAGATATGAGGCGCTGGGCACAAGTTACAAGATGCCGGACACGTACCTGAGACTTGTGGGGGCTTTCGCCAGGCAGTCCTCGCTGATGCCACGGGTTACAAAGCCTTCGGCTCCGCCAGCGACCCAGCACCACAATAGAGAGAGAGAGAGAGAGAGAGAGATAGAGAGCGAGAGAGAGAGAGAGCACGTGCCACTGCAACTTGACTTGTTGCTGGCATCGCTTGAGCGTCTGTCGTCCATGGCGGCAACGGAGAAGGACAGTGATATTCAGAGTTCCAGGCAGTGGCTCTGTGTGCGCGCTGGCCATGCCGAGGTGTCCTGCCAACAGAGTTTGCAAAACTGCTCTGCGAGTTGCGAGGAGCTGAGGAGTTTGCGAGACTTTCGCAGCTTGTCAATGTACGAATGTACGACTGCTGAGGTGGAGGTCTTTGCGGCTTTTGCGGCCTGGGCGAACAGACCGTCACCCAAGCACAACTTCCTGCCTGCAGCACAGAGGGACTTTAGGCTTTAGTTTTGGTCCTCGTCTGCATCCATGGCGTTGGCTTTGCCACATTGCGGTTTGCGGGAGTTCAGTCTGCGAATCAGAGAGAATGTGCATATGTGCATCGCTTGAGCTTTGTACGGCTGCATGCTGTCTTTTTCTTTGGACCCGAGAGTCACGCAAGCCACGAGAATCCCAACCGAACCTTGCCCACTGACACTTGGAACGTGAGAAGGTCTGTGAAAGCCAGCACACGCGCCAGCACATGCCGTAACCTAGTTACACGGTTGCCATCGGTTGCTTACGATTTCCAAACCTCGGACCGTGACTCCTCCGGGCAAATCTGGCGGCCCTCATGATCATGAGTGTGTGGGTGGCAGCCAAGAACCCTGGGGTGAGGTGATCGACCAGTGTGCCTTCGACATGGGAGTTGAGGCTGTGAGTTCGGCAGGATGCCTTGTCTGTGAGAGCCCCAAGCCCAAGGCCTGGGTGACCACGACAACCTCTACCGGAACGCGGACGACCCTGACATCGTCACGGACCTCATCCGTAACATCATCTGCGACTTGTCAACGTGGTTTTTGCCCGGAAAAAAAGCAGCGCAGACTTTGCTTGTGCAGACGACAACTTATCTGGGACCAACGAGCACTAGCACCACCACGTTCGAGCCTCGGCCGGTCTGTGCTGAGTCTACCAGACGGCGCCCAAGTGCCCGCAGCAGGACTACAAGCGTGACTTCGTCCACGTCAGCCACGGTCACTTCAACATCCAGTGCAACAGTTTCGAGCACCTCAAGTTCCACCACCACCAGTACTACAACCCAGGCAACTGCGAAACTTCACTTGCAATGCTTTGCATCGATGTTGAGTTGCTGAAAGGTGAACGGCTACTACTACTACCGATTCACACCCACGCGAATAGCAGACGAAGGCCGCTTTCGTTGTAGTGGCGGAATGGGTGAAATCTCGCGATCACAGGTGGAAGCTGCTGCTGCGTGATGTCCTCTGTGCTTGGCCGAGACGGAGGAGGGTTGAAGTGTGCAGCAACCCAGGCCCATGCAGTTGCGGAGCTCTACTTCAGGCCGGAACAGTTGTCAATACGCCATGCAGTCGTGATCCGCGGAGATAGTCAAGGAACTGTGGCGCAGATGTTGACATGGCATTGGCCAGTGCCAGCAACAGATCTGCACAGAGGTTGTGCGAGTTGCGTAGGAGGACTCTGTGAAGCACCCTGTGACGTGTGTAGACGTGCTCAGATGGCTAAGAAAAGGCAATCCTGGCGGTTCTTGGCAGAGTCCGGCGCCCAAGAGCTTTTGTCAGACTCTGTCAGATGCATGGAGGCTCGATCAGCTCGCAGCAAAGGCAACCCACCGGGCAATGCCGTAGATCTCCGGCTCGAGACGAAGTGGCGGGACAGCAACAGGCGCTTCGGGTCCCGAGCCAGGGAGCTGAGGGTCCTTGGCGGCCTTTGGCCTCTCAGGCGCCCGCTCATCCTTGCTTCGCCGAATCTGATGCCGGTGCGGGACTCCTCCGATCCCTCTCCGGTCGTCTCAGTGTCGTCTTTATGAACCTGTGAGGTGGATTCCTACAGTGGGGGGCCTCGGATGGGGAGGAGAGAGCGCGGAGAGTGCGAGCGTTGGCGCCATCGGTTCTTTCTCTCCGGTGACGTCTCGGAAACGATGATGACCACAGGGCGAGAGTGGAGGGAACTGATTGCGCAGTGCGCCAGACATGTCAGAACGGCGGAGGGTGGATGCTCAGGGCACGGTCTCTTTGCTGAGATCGCGACCATTGACTGAGGGGTTTTGGGTCCGGATGGGACCGTCGTCGATGACGTCCGTCCTTTAAGATCCGCGTGCGGCTCTCCTGTTGCTAGCCGCTAGCCGTCGTTCCACGTAGCCTTCTTTCATTCACCCGTCAATCCTGGTTGTTCTGTGACTCGCTTGCAAGGCTATGTCACCGGGGATGACTGCCCTGACAACGACCCCACGGCCTTTGAGTTGCATGGGTCACAAGACGGTGTCTAGCTTGCGCCTCGGTTGGCCTTTCATGCAAAGTTTGGGCCCTCAACTGTCGATTTCTGTCAGTTGGGAGTTCCTGGATGCTCGGACGATGGCAGACCGACCGCCCGCCTCTTGGCGACCAGTGGGGCGCCCAGGATTTCGTGCAGTCGGGTTTTTCTCTTTTCGTCGCGCAGCTCGGCATCAACCTGTGAATTTTAGGCATACCTAGCCTGTCCGGTTGGCTCATCATGTCATGATCGCTTCGCGCCTTTTGCTTTCTGGCCCAAGTGGGCCCACTGAGCCTTTGCACTTTCATGCATGGCAGGAAAAGAGATGCGCCTCTGAAGCCTTAGTCCTGCCTTACTGAGTTGGCACCGGAGCCTGCCTTTTCTGGGCGGTGTTTCCTTTTGACGGTTCCCTGCATGCCCCGGGTCCCCGACATGTTCCGTTTGAACGCCGGCGACACCGACGAGGACCGGAACGACCAGGACCCGGATTTGGACCGCGACGAAGAGGTGGGCGACGAGGAGCTCGAGGAGACCACCGCAGAACCGAACCGCCCACAGCGCCAGGGACCTACACTTGACTACTGGAGATGCCTTAGGTGTGACGGGAGCCAGTGGGAGCGAAACGTGTACGGCACCGACCTTTGCAGGAGCTGTGAGGGAACAGAGTTTTACTCAGTTCGACGCCCCACCGGCACGAGACAGACCAAGGCATATGGATGTTCATGCCGAGGCCCGCCACAGCTGAGCGGACCGCTGGAGGACCAGATGGAGAAGGAGACCGGCCGCCGCCGAGGACCCCTTTGTCAAGACGCCAGCGACGACAGCTCAGACGACGACTAGCGGGTGGCGATGACCCTCCACCAACCGAGCCCGATGCAGCGAGCGAGTTCCCTGAGTCCGGGGGACCCTTCTGTGGAGCCCGATCCCTTGGACGAGGGGACAGCAGCCCAACCGCTTGGGCAAGCAGCCGGGTCTTCCTGGCAGCCGACCAAGAAGACCTCATGTCCGGCTTCGCCTCCTTCTTCTTTTGGGGCGACGCCGGCACCGACGACAGCGAACATGGCCAAAGCACCTCGGCAGCCCGCTCCTTGGAGACCCGTGGGCCGTGCCGATGATGAGCACCCAGCTTCCCTTCGAGACCCAGGCACGGCCAGCAGTACGACTTGGAAGTCCCGCATGGGACCCGAGAAAGGAGTGAGATGGCGCGGGGGTGCTCCACCGACCCCTCCTACTTGGAAGTACGACTCTCAGGACCCGCGGGCCTACTCTAAGTATGCCAAGAAGGTGGCTTTGTGGCGGATCCAGATCGCCAGCTACATGACCCCGCGCGAGGCGGCCCTTGTGCTGTACACCAGCCTCACCGGGGAGGCTGAGACGGAGCTCGAGCACGCCCCCATCGAGGCGATCAACTGCGACAAGGGCATTGACTTCATCTTGGAGACGCTTCGCACCCCGATGGAGCAGAAGCTGGTGTTTCAGAAAAGAAAATTTCTCAACGAGTACGAAAACATCCAGCGACAGCCGGCCGAAGGACTGAGATCGTACTCGAACCGATACCGCCGAGCAGAGCGCAACCTTAAGGCGGTCGGAGTGGAGGTGGCACAGATGTACGACAACGACAGCCGAGGAAACCGACTTCTTGAACGGGCGCGGCTTTCGCTTCAGGATCAGCGGCTCATCCTGGTTGGGAGCCGCTACTCCCTTGCCTTTGAGGACATCGCCGAGTCCATGCACATGCAGTGCCCCCGAGTTCCGCGCGGCGCCGCCCATCTTCGGCAAGGACGGCCAGCCCCTCATGAGGAAGGGCGACCAGGGCAAGGGCAAGCCAAGCGGAAGAGCAGCCGGCCATGGATCGCATTTCAGCACCGGCTCTTCGGGAAAAGGCGGAAAGGGGCAGCCACGCCGAGTCTATGTCACCGAGCGCGCCGAGGACGTCCTCGAGGACATCCCCGAGGGCGACGCCCAGGCCGGGAACGACGAGGCCGACGACGACCAGAACGACGAGAACGACCAGCCGGACGAGGACCCAGGCGAGTCGGATGCAGATGCCCTTGCCGAGGTCGCCGAGGTTCTCACCGTGACGGCAAAGAAGCTCTCGAGCCTTAAGCTGGGCCGCAAGTTCACCGGCCAGCCGGCCAAGGACATCAGCACGCAGAAGAAGAACACACATTGCGCAATCTGCGGCCAGCTTGGACATTGGAAGGGCGACCCGGAGTGTCCCGGATCACCCACTTCACCGTCGAGCCCACCTAGGCCAGGCGGAACCAGCCGAGCGGGAAGCTCCAACCCGGCTTCCCCAAAGAGCGGCCGAGCAGCGGACCGCGACAAGAAGGGTGCCCACCAGGCCTTCTTCGTGCGCGACTACGGCGCCCTCGAGGTCACCGACCAGGCCCCCGCGTTCCAGATTAATGTCGTCTACGAGATTCGCGGCGCGCCCCAGCAGGACAGCTCCACAGGCTTTGTTGGTCTCATGATCCTTGACACGGCGTGCAGAGAACGTGTTGTGGAAGCCGGTGGGCCCGAGAGCAAGGGGATCTTCTTGAGTCATACGGGCTGAAGGCCCACCAGACTCCTTGCACCGATGCTTTTCAGTTTGGCTCTGGCCCTCCTCACGTTGCCGGTCAAAGGACCTACCTTCCCGTCGGGATCGGCGGCACAGACTTACTTATCGGAGCTGGCACGCTGGAGGCAGAAATCCCTTTGCTTGCTTCCAATAAACTTCTTGATGCTCTGGGGATGGTCTTAGACATGCCGCGCAACGTTGTCACTTTTACCTCCTTGTCAGTGACAGTCCCCCTACTTAGAATCGGCGGCCACCTTGTTATCAGCATCAGTCAGTTCAGCGAGTGCAAGGCAAGCTGGCAATCTCTTCAAGACAGCGTGGATTGGAATGATCCTCCCCCGGAGCTTGTGGTTCAAGGTTCGCTTGCACCAAGCCCTTCAACTTCGGTTGCCGATGCCCGGCTTGACCGGCCAACTGGCGACACCGCCGCAATGGTTGCGAAAGTGGCGCAGCTTCGTCAAGAATCTCATCGAGTTCCCCCCTCGCCACTTCTTCGTGACGATGACCACGGCGGTGCGGCTGGGCACCCTTCCGGACAGCGTCTACGAAGCGGTTCCCCCGGAGCTCGACGTGAAGTTCGCGCACCCGGCGGGGACATGCCCTCATCCGGACTATGTCCGGTACGGAAACGCCTACGGCAAGTTCGCCCGATGCAAACAGTGCCTGAAGAGGTGGAGGTGGAACGCCGATCAACAGCAATGGGTCGAGCACCTCGACAAGGCCTTCGACTGCAAACTGCTAAGTTCGCGGCCTCCCTTGCCCTCTTCCTCCAATACTGTACCAGCGGGTTCTCTCTCGGCACCATCGAGCCCGTTCAAGCCTTCGACCCGAGCCTCATTGGCGGCTGCGACACCGAAGAGATGTTTGGCGGCCAAGCGTCCGAGCAGGAGGGCCCGGCCAAGCAGCAGCAGCGAGATGGACGTGGATCCTTGGAGGATGGTGGCGACCGAGTCGGAGTACAACTGGGCAGACGCTGGAAGAGATCGGCCCGCGTGCTGGGCGATGAGCTGGGGATGTACAATCGCCAGCCCACGGCACATCGATCGACATCCTCTGCGCCTACGGCAACACCTTTGGATTGCAGACTGCGGCCGCTGACCTCATGATGACTTCGACGGCCCTTCCTGCAGCCAAGGCTTACCAATCACCGTGGCAACCGCCAGGCACAACGAGCACTACGACGGCTTCGGCCATACGTCCTTTTCCTTTCTCTCCTGGGCCGTCCCTTCGATCTTGGGGAACAACACTTCGTGAAAGAACTTCTCGACGAGCAGACCTCGGCCGGCAGGGCGACGATCATCGTGGGGCCGCCCAGCGGGATGATGAGGAGTTTCGGCTTCATTCCTGGAGCCAACACTGTGGATTTTGGGCACGGCCGCGATGCCACGACCCTCTTCACGACGATTCCCGGCGCCACAACATGGTTTACTGCCGGCCACGGGGCGGAGGAGACCTTCGAGGAGAACACCGAGCCCCTCCTTTACATGATTACTATATCCGCATCAAGGACCCTGGACGGTTCGGCATCTACCAAGCCTTCGTGACCTACCGCAGCCCGGTGAGCAACATGGAGGCATGGAGCGGGGTGGCCGAGATGCTCAGCCGTTCTTCCGGGATCCCCGGGACACGGCCTTTCTACATCGACCCCGGCAGCGAGCAAGGCCGCCAGATCGCCGAGCTCTTTCGCATCAAGCTGGAGAAGATCCAAGCGGTCCAGACTCCTTCCCAGAGGAGACTTCCTCAAGACGTGCCCTACACGGCACGAGGGGCCTTCCTCACCCACAACGACGGCGCCAAGACAGTCGAGCTGGAGGATCTGAGCGTGGTACACCAGCCCAAGCAAAGGTTCGCGAAGCCAGTGCGGTACGGCCTGCTGGTCTACGGCCACCTCATCCCTGAAGACGAGCCCGCACAGAGCTTCGCGCCCAGCGCGCCGGTGCCCGGCCTCCCCACGCATATTTCCTTTCCCGGGCTATCCGCCCAAGTTCCTGTTGAAGTTCGCCGATCGATTGCCCGTGCACACATAAACCTCGGGCACCCGACCTCTGAGGAGCTCACTCGAATGGCCAATGCCTCCGGCACCCCGAGCAGCTTATTCATCGAGGCCATCCGCAAGCTGCATTGTGCCACTTGTGACCGACTTAAGGGCCCTCAGGCGCCCAAGCCGGCCACCTCGACGGTCACAGCCACTCAGTTCGGTGACCGAGTAGAGGCGGATGTCTTCTACGTCCGTGACCTCCAGGGCAAGAGCTGCATGATCCTTGGAGTGGTGGACGTGGCCACCCGCTTCCACCAGGCAGCCGTCCTGAAGAGCCGTGACCCGCAGGATGCTTACGAGGCTCTGGAAATGGTGTGGCTCAGGCCTTTCGGCATGATGGTTCAGATGGAGTCCTGGTGGACTACTGTCCAGCCGAGGCGCGCTGGAAGATAGGGCACGTGGAGCGGCAAAATGCGTTTCTGCGGACGGTCATCGAGAAACTTGTGGATACGTTCGCGGCGGTTGGCGTCAAGGACTTGGAGCTGTTGCTAGCTCCCGCGCTTCATGCTGTCAACAGCATGACCCTCAGCCGGGGAAGGTCCGCCTTTCAAGCGGTCTTTGGGAAGGTGCCACGTTTGCCTGGAGGTTTGCTGACAGACCCGAGCTCCCTCGCGGTGACCCCGACAGATGATCCAGCGGCGACAGCAGAGATCATCCGCTCTGAAGCCATCAAGACACTCTGTGACCTCAACGTTCGCCAAAGCCTCCGTCGAGCCGTTCTCCGCGAAACTCACAACACTAAGGTGCCACAGTTGGAGCCCGGACAACCGTGCTCGTTCTGGAGATGGAGGAAGCGCGGCTTGAAGAAGCGAGGCGGCTGGGTGACAGCACGTTTCTTGAGTTGGGACCCTGCCTCACCTGGAAAGATGGCATGGGTGCGGTCTGGAACGACTACCGCGCTGGTGGCCACTGAGCAGCTGAGGGCGGCGACTGGCTTCGGGGCTTGGCTTCCCACAGAGCCGGACGTGGCCGCACTCAAAGATGCTTCCCGCGCCTTGGACCAGGCCCTTAGGTCGGATGAATCAGGGCCACCGCCGCCGAGCAAACACTACCACGACGAGGACGACGCGTTCAACCTCGACGTCATGGACGAGATCGGCCCCACCGAGCTTACTGCAGCCTTGGCGTCAGCACCAAGTTTGGCACCAGTGGCGGCTCCATCGGCGCCGGTCCCTCTTGCACCCATGCACCTGGAGACACTAGACCAGAGCCACAACCAGCAGAGCACACTGGTCTACCGGCCCACCGTGCAGAACACCTACGTCAAGAACACGGCCAGACTGCGAGACGTACCTCAAGGATCTCGCCGCGGAGGTTCAATTCCCCGAACCCCTCGAGGAGACGCAGCACCGAGGACACCGAGGACTACACGTAGTCGCTCGCCTCTTCCAGTGGCGGCGTCAGTTTCGACAGCAGCTCGAGAACCTCAAGAACTACAACAGTTACCAGAAGGACTTCCAGAACCTCCTGTGCCACTAGTTCCGCCGACGCCAGAAGCTCAAGAACCGCAAGAACTACCACAGTTACCAGAAGGACTTCCAGAACCTCCTGTGCCACCTGTTCCAGAGACGCCCTTAGAGGTGGGATGGGAGTCTGCGCAGTACGACTCAGCGGGTTACGAGACCGAGCTTGAACTTGAGACACCACAACCAGCTGGACCTGCTCTACTACAACCTTCGGCGACCGAGACCGCGCCCGTGGCTCCTGAGCACAGTGCTTCTACTAGCGCAGCCCAAGCGGCCGCAGCGGGAAGCGAACCAGGGTCGAGCTCAAGGCCCCCTACGACACCAGTCTAGAGCGCACCGTCAACTACCAGGACAGAGCCGCCAGGACTTCTTCCCGCCAAGAGGCCCTTTGAAACTTTGAGCACCTTCTTCTTCGACGGCGACGACCTCTACCACTGCACTCCCGGCACCGAACCAGCAGCAGGATTCGGGCCCCAGCCTCACGGATGCTACGACGCCTACATGAACTCCAAGCACCGCATGGACGACACCAACGGCACCTCCAAGGACCCCAAGGACAGTGACACGAGCGACAGCGACTGGGCGGACTCACCTCCCAAGAAACAGGGAAATGGCATGAGCCGTGCCGAGGCCAAGGCACTCGACAGGGAGATCCCGTGGAGAAAGATCCTGGAGCTGGACCAGCCCGACATCAAGGCCTACATCGCCGCGGTCGAGAAGGAAGCGAAGAGCTGGGAAGAGTGGGGATCCGTGAAACCCCTCTCTCACGAGGAGGCCCGTCGCATCCTTCGCGACAAGGTCCTCTGCAAGCGAGTGCTGAGAACCCGGAGCTGCTTCCGGGACAAGAGCAAGGGGCTGGGAGAGCTGGCAGCTAAGTGCAGAGTCGTTGCACTGGGTCACAAAGAGGGAGTGTGCCACTCCGAACCGGACATCCGAACACGTCCTCTTCGCCATCCTCACGGCCGGTAGCAACGGTGAGTACGGCGAGACCAAGAAGAAGTGGTTCGGCTGGTCCGGCGACGCTTCCACGGCATTCTTGCAGGGGGATATCTCCTCAAGTGAGCGTGAGCTTCCTCTGTACCTCCTACCACCGAACGACGGGGTGACTTCTTTGACTTCTTGCTGGAAGGCACCGCTCTACTTGGTGTGTACCAACGTGTACGGCCTCAGCAACGCTCCGCGACTGTGGTCTTTGACTGTCATTAAGAGACTCTGCGACCTCGAGTACCGACAGCACTCCTTCGACAAGATGGTCTTTCTCAAGTATGACAAAGCTGGCCACCTCATCTCCATCATCATTGTCTACGTCGATGACTTCCTGGGAGTCTACCGTTCGGACTACGACGTCTCCGAAGTACACAAGGCCTTCAAGTGGGGTGCTCTCCACGAGTTTAAGCCCAACGAGACGGTGACCTTCAAAGGGAAGCAGCTGACTTTAAAGCTCCGCGCGAATGGCCGTCACTACCTCCACGTCTGCCAAAAGGACTTCATCGACGGCATGACCTCTGGAGCCCTTCCTCGCAATGCTGATTTGACGGCCACCCTCACGCCGGAGCAGAAGACTGAGTTTCGCAGTGTCACCGGATGTCTGCAGTGGCTCTCAGGGCAGTCGAGACCAGAACTGTCTGCAGTGAACAGCCTGTCCAACCACGGCGGGGCCACGACCCAGGCCGACCTTCGCGCCCTCTACCAGGCGGTCGACTTTGCGGCAGCGACCCGGGAGAATGGCTTCGTGATCCCCGACGTGCCCCTCAACAAGGCCAGCGTCATTCTCAGCTTCAGTGACGCCAGCTGGGCGAACGCAGAGCACTGCCGGTCCCAGTGTGGAGTACTCGTGCTTCTTTGTGGGCCTTCGGTGCTTCAGCGCCCTTCGGCAGCAATGCTAATGGACTGGAGATCCTGCCGATCCACCCGTGTATGCCGCTCAACACTCGCGGCCGAAGCTTCTGCCTCAGACGAAGGGTGTGATCGGGCAGCTTACGTAAACTTCTTCTTGAGTGGGCTGCTGTACAACGTGCCGGCTCACAAAGTGAACGCCCGCCTTCAGCAGCTAGCAGTTACGGACGCTAAGTCCCTGTACGACTGCGTGATCTCAGACAGCCCGAACCTCAGCGACAAGAGGTCGCTCGTTAACGTCAGGGCGATCCAAGAGGTAGTGCCAGGGCATTGCTTCCATTGGGTGCCGACGCACCTTATGTGGGCAGATGGACTCACGAAACACAGTCGTGACCTCCAGCAGAGCCTTCACGAATGGCTACAGCAGCCACGCGTGATCTTGAAGCAGGTGTGATGAGCCAAACAAGAATTTTAGACCGGTGTGAATTTTAGGCATACCTAGCCTGTCCGGTTGGCTCATCATGTCATGATCGCTTCGCGCCTTTTGCTTTCTGGCCCAAGTGGGCCCACTGAGCCTTTGCACTTTCATGCATGGCAGGAAAAGAGATGCGCCTCTGAAGCCTTAGTCCTGCCTTACTGAGACAACCTGAATGGACGAGTCAATACGGTGGCTGTCACACGGCACCCGTGCACGCGCATCGCACCCGTTGAAATCCGTCCACTGCAGGCTCAAAGCCTTCCACCTGCAAGCATCGCCCGTTGTGACCTGAACCCACACCGCACCGTCGATTTCTCCCGAAATGCGCGGAGGTTCGAATGGGTCGAGCTCAGAAGGCAAGGTGGGCGCTCGCCAGCGATTGAAAATGCTGTCAACATTTCGACCACATGTTCACCGCGGCGACACGTGGAACGAACGGACGCCCTTGCACTTGGGGACCCTGTTCTGACCTTCCCGACCCCTATACTCCGACTTCTATTCGCAACCTTCTTTCCGTGATTTCCATTTCACTGCTGACCCTGTGCAAGGGCCTGGCCTCGGGGCAGAGGCGTATTCTCAACAATATACTCACCCTATTCCAGCTGTACTACGTAACACCTATTAAAACTACGAAAACCGTATTTGACCGGGAGATGCTCCTGTCCGAAACTCTGTCCAACCCAATTCGTATTCCCAACCCTATTCTTCAGGGTAACCAAATCCTTTTCCACCAACGCCTATTCCCGATTCGTATTCAACACCAATCTGAAGGAAGCCTAGAGAGCATGTTTTTCATGGGAGATTCAGCAGCATGTTGCCCCGGGAACAAACCAAAAGGGCCGTGGGGGCGTGGGCGTGGCCGAGGCTCAGACCGAATGGTTCACGTTCAAGAACTGCACGCCGCCACGAGCTCTGTCTCGGCGCTTCTCGACGGGGGCCTCTTTCATGTTCTTTGAGCTTTTAGGACCACGACGGCCACAAGCTTGACACAAACCTCCCAGACCACGTGGGCTGCCAAGGGCTTCATGTAAAGCGGCAGTGGATGATGTGCTTGGGCTCGTCGAGGTCTTCGTCAACCGTGTCCAGAACTTTTACTGCTTTGCCACCCAGAAGACTTGGGTCGGACCGTGCGTTGTGTGGGTGCTGGAAGGTCTCGACCACCATCAGCCGGACGAGCACAGCGAGCACCACGACGTCGCCGGAGGCGCGTGCGTGCGGTAGGGACTCCTGTGCTCCGTGACGAATTCAGCGTCGCTGCCAGGGTGCCTTCGTGCAGCTGATTGAATCTGGCACCTGTGCCGTGGCCTCGCGCCTCTCCCCTTCGCTAACCTTTGCTTCGGAGTAAACACATACTGCCTCTCTCGGTCTCCTGCGCTCTTGATCGCTGAGCCGCATGCTCGCGCTTGCTCGCGATCGCTTGCAAACACGAATGGCTCGTAGGCGCTTGATTTTGCTGTAAGGCGCAGCTTTCACTCTTCCCCATCCTGGGCCCCGCAGAGTGCGAGCAGGCTGCGAGGCGAGGGCTAAGTTCTGTAAAAGCTTGCTGCCGCTTGTTGCTGAAGGGCTTATGCGGCTGGCTCGTAAAATTCAGCCCGGATTTGTTTGTCGCACATGGGTTTCCTGACGCCGCCTGGTAAATGTACAGCAAGTTGATGCGGAACCAGAACCACGCGGAACATCAGGAGGTACTGTTGGCACAGGTGATGCTGTAGGCGGCATTGTCAACTCAAACATTTCCTTCAACTCATACATCTTCTTCATTTGCTCGCTTCCGAGATCGAGAACGTAGTCGCTGGAGCTCCTTCAGCTCGCTCTTGTCGAGCTTTATTGCTTTCGAAGCCGACTTATGTCGAGCGCCACCAGAAGCGCATTAAGCAAAGCTCCGAAACTTCACTAATCTAACCACCCCATCAACCATTCGCGGTCTATTACAGCTTACTGTTCCGCTCCCAACCTAGGCCCGCGCGAGACGGCTCAAAACGATAGCATCATCCGATTCTGCCAGCATTCATAAGCATTCCAACATCTCTCTCCTTTGCGCGCAGGACACTAAAGTCGATTCATCCCGTACCTTTACAAAATATAGGTGGGAGATCCTACTGTCTGGCCTTCCTTTGGACAAACACCATGGAGTAGGATTCTTTGCATCGCCCTCTCTCTCCGTTCCATGTTCAAGATTTCAATCCGCATCCCCCTCGTTTTTGTGAGATCACCATTGATATCATTTATACCCTCCGTCATCCCACTGCTGTCGTCAACATTTGTGCTCCCAGCACGGTAGAAACTCCTGACAAGGATCGGGAACAAAAAGCCAAAGTTTGGGCCGATTTGTAGGACCTCATCTAACTCACTTCATTACAATTCCTGGCTGGATGCCAATATTGACCCCGCACATACGCTGGCCAAGCTAGCCTTTGGCGCGTCGCGCGCATGTGGAGGACGTCGGTGTGCAGCACGCAATATGTCGAAAAACACGAAACGTCGAACAAAAAGCACGAAACACACGAAACACGGGAAAAGTCCGAAGCGTCGAAACAGGCGAAAAAACGCGAACATCGCGAACAAACACGCGAGAAATGCGATACGCGAAAAAATCGAACAAACATAACACCCGATACTATTGGTAAATACCGAGTAAAACGGACGTGCNNCCCCCCCCCCCCCCCCCCCTCACCCCTCAACACCAAAAGCGGTGGTTGCATTGAATTGTCGCCATGCGAATCAGCTTGGTTAGCCAAACGAGTTGCTAAACCCGAAATTTAGCTAGACCCGAATGGACGATTTGGCGTGGCTTTCAGAGTACAAAACCATCGAAACTATTCTGGATTTAAAATCCAGAGTTGCGAGCCTCAACATACAGTACCATTTTGTGTGGTTTTGAATGTTCCAACAGCCTTGTGAATCTGATAATCGGCTTCGTCAAATAAACCCGAAATTAAGGTTTGGCTAGACCCGAATGGTCCATGCGAATCTGCTTGTGGTTAGCCACAGCAGTTGCGAATCCCGAAATTAAGGTTTAGCAAGACCCGAATGGATGATTTGGCGCGGCTTTCAGAGTGTAAAACCCGCGAGCTTCAAAATACAATTTTGAATGGTTTTTGAATGCTCCAAAAGCCATGTGAAAGTACTAATCAGCTTCGTTAAATAAACCCGACATTAAGGTGGACGATTTGGCGTATTAAAAACCATCGAAAATCAAGAGTTGCGAGCTTCAAAATACCATTTTGCATAGTTTTCAGTGCCCCAAAATCTATGCGAATCTGATATTAGGGTTTAGCTAGACCCGAATGGTCGCCATGCGAAGCAGCTTGGTTAGGTAGACCCGTTGATAGACCCGAACCTAAGGTCTAGTAAGACCCGAACGGACGATTTGGCGTGGCTTTCAGAGTGTAAAACCATCGACAATCAAGAATTGCGAGCTTCAAGATACCATGTTGTATGGTTTTGACGGCTCCAAAAGCCATGTGAATCTGATAATCAGGTTGGTTAGTTAAACCCGAGATTAAGGTTTAACTAAACCCGAATGGTGTCCATGCGAAGCAGCTTATGGTTAGCTAGAGCAATTGCTAAGCCCGAAATTTAAGTTTAGCAAGACCCGAATAAACGATTTGGCGTGGCTTTCAGAGTGTAAAACCATCGACTCTGATAATCACATTGGTTAGTTAAACCCGAAATCAAGGTTTAGCTAGACCCGAATGATCGTCATGCGAATCAGCTTGTGGTTAGCCACAGCAGTTGCTAAACTCAAAATTAAGGTTTAGCAAGACCCGAACGGACGATTTGGCGTGGCTTTCAAAGTATAAAACCACCGAAAATCAAGAATTGCGAGCTTCAAAATTGCATGGTTTGGAATGCTCCAGAAGCTATGCCACCCTGATCATCACATTGGTTAGTTAAACCCGAAATTAAGGTTTAGCTAAATCCAAGGTCTAGAGACCATAAATTCTTAAGATTTCATAGTATTTGTTGAGATGGCTACGTGACCCAACGTTGAACGCAAATTTTGTATCTCGAAACATGTACATAAACATGTATGCGTGTTGCATGTTAGTTAGTTCATAAAGCAGAACCAATATCCAAATACGGTGTAGACGTTAAATGCTCAGCAAACATTCATTCAGTTTTGGGTTCGAGCTACACTACCTGATTAAAAGCGAGTATGCAGGCAAGATTAGAAATCCGCAACAGGTATCAACTGAGTAGCACGTAACGAATGCTTCGTGAATGAGCAGTGAGGAAGGAGCTATCATATGTGCGCTCATGAGCATATGTGTCTCCGTAGTTGTCATTGCCTGTATGACGATCATGTAGACCGCTCGGGGAATTCGTGTTTATGTTCACGCGCCACAGCAGTCCCCTCTCCCCAACAAAATCACCGCATCGTTTGGAGCTTGCGCCGCGAATGCACAGCAACGTGCTCGAGAAGGGGTATCCTTTCTAACCAGTTGCCTCCTGCAGGCAGTTGGATCTTCCGGACCTATCTGCGCAGATCACAGCCGAAGCCGAGAGGCTCGGAACTAAGCCCAACTCCTTGCGGAGCTGTGCCCGCCCCCCTGCCTTTTGTGGCTGAGGCCCGAGGGATGTTGCCGCCTTAGCCTACAGCTCCCTCTCTGTCCTGCCCTCCATGGGAGCTCCCACGCCATGCCATGCCATCGAGCCAAACGGGTGCAATTTAGGGTTGCCGGCTCGCGAGATGGAAGCAGTCACCTCTGCATGGTAGCGGTGCAGGGCAGACGGGAAGAGCCCCCTGAAAGATTGTTATGCTAAGAAGGATGAGGGCCTCTTTCGTGAGATTTGTTCTGGCGTGCAAGTTGGTTTCATGAAGACGTTGTTGTGGGAAGGGAGCACATGTTGTTTTCGTGCAGTCTTAATCTCTGTTGTGTTTGTTTGTCTTCATGCGGTATGGTAGCGGCAAGGAAGCTACATTTTGCTTCCGTGCACTTTGTCTTGTCCGCCCGACAACATGGTGGCTGGAAGAGACTCTTGCGAATCATTTTCGTCCTCAGGCTTCTGGCTCTTTGTCTTGCATGTGGCGCCACCATGCTGGTGGTAGTGAAGTTGAAGTGCGAGCTGGCGCATGCCTCTTTCCGAGTTTCTGGGTTCGCGTCCGTGGACGATCGGCCCGGCAGGACGAGGGCCATTCAACTCGGACTTGGGGGGGGTTTTCTTTTCAGCAAGCCATCAGCGAGCGCCTGTTGTGGCTTAGCCCAAGGAGGCCACATGGGTCTCGCCAGGAGAAGGTGATCGAGCTGGGCAGATCTTGAACCCCCGGGAAAGGCCTTCGGCTCTCTGTCGAAGGCCTTCGACAGCCCCAATTCCAAAGTCCTTGCAAAAGACAGCACAGAAAGGGAGGTCAATGGAGGCGACGTGATCCAGAAAGCCTTTCAACGGGGTGAGGGGACGTGTGGATGCTTCTGTGTGTTTCGGCAAAGGGAGCTGCACACGCCTTCGCCTCCCAAGGCTACTTCTTCGAGGGCCTCTCGCTCTGGCTGGGTGTGAGCCCCGCCAGCAAGGCCTCGGAGCTGTGAATTGCCTGTAGAGTGCGTGACTCTTTCAGCGCGCTTGAAGTCATCAGGGCAGGGGTGCTGAGACCTCCGGCCCGGAAGCCAACAAGTCGTGGCCCCTCCAGTTTGCCCCCTTCGTAGAGTATTCACGAGACTTCTGGCTTGTGAGGACACGGCATCCCATCTGCAGCTCAGTCATGCCGGACATGCGTTGGAGCACTCAGATTTGTGCTTGACTCGCTTTTAAACTTGGACAGCTTGTTGTTACGAGGAGACTTGAGTCAGGGTGCTTTCGTTTGGGGCCAATTCGCAGACTTGGGCTCCAGAGAGGTGTCGCCACTGGCCTCGCTGGTCACGGAGGCCCGCGATCAGGACTCTTTGTCGTGGCTATGCGTGCACATGATGTGCAATATGTGTGTTATTGATTGAATGTGTATATGTTCCTTTCTGTCTGTGTATATGTACGTATGTATGTATGTATGCATGGGTGTGTGTGTGTGTGTGTATGTATGTATGTATGTATGTATGTATGTATGTATGTATGTATGTATGTATGTATGTATGTATGTAGGGTTCTGGACCGAGCTGCCCGTAGCAGCATTGCCAGGAACCCCAGTGCTGAGGCACGCTCCTTGCCGCCATATCGCCGACCTCACCAAGCTGGCACCGGAACCAGCGGCGGCGGCGATCGAAGGCCAGACGGCGGATCCACGCCTCTCGCAGAAGAGGCGCCACTGTCCCACTCACACCTCTCCTTAGGCTGGTCAAGCACCATTCGAAGCCGAAATACCGAGAACTACGTCGAATGGGCGGCAAGAGAGGATGGGGACGTGGTGGTGGACGTTCCTCCACATCGTGGGAATCGGCGCCTCAGTGGAACTACTGGAAAGGCACTTGGTCACCACGCAGTGGACAACAGAAGGAGTACCACTACGACCAGACCAGTCTTCGGCCCGAGCATACGGAGATGGCAGATGCTGGTGGCGGCGCCACTGCCTTTTTACAGGCAGTCCAGAAGGCGGTCACTACAGCTCGGAAGCACGATGTGAGGCTGCGGAAAATCAACGAGGAAAAAGCAGCCCGCCAGCGCTACTGGCAACAATATGTAGAGGACACGAAAAGGAAGTTTGCTGTCCAGCGGAAAGAGTTCGATGCAGATATGCAGCGACTGGAGGCCGACCACGCGGCGACAATGGAGGCTGGACACATGGCAGCGGCACAAGTGAAGGCCATCATTGTTGGACAGACGAAGCCGAGACCACCGGAGGATCCCTTGGATCGGGAGGCTGCCTGGGCAGCCCTCTGGCAGAATTCAGACGCCCCTCCTTCTGGAGCGAGCTTCCTGGACGAAGCGCTCGGGGCCGCGAAGCAAGCCGGGATGCATATGGATCTTCATGGTTGGGACGACCCTTCACGGATAGAGAAGCCCACACGCAACGAAGATGCGTCTGGAGTGAGGTCGGCCCCTCCACCGGGACTACCAGAGCCTACTTACTCCGCGCTCTCCCCAACTGCGGTGGTTACTGGGATGGGACCCTTTCCTGCGACTTCGCCTGGAGCTGGAAGAGTGCCAACCGAGGACAAGTCGACGCACCTAGGAGCCCGCACTCCACCGCAGCGCACAGGACAGCGAGAACAGGGCACACCTCGTGTTCCCACCAGCGTCGAGCCGCCGCGGTTGGATATCAAGTGCGCCACAAAGCTTCCCCCAGAGAAGCCGACCGTTGGAGGATCAGGACTCCAAGACAAGCTAGATGCCAGACGAGCCATGGCCTCTGGCGCCCTAAGACCCTTTGGACTTCGGGAAGATCCAGGGGGTGGCCACAAACACACAGGCAAAGGAGAGGGAAGCAAAGAGGCTCCCCCGGAATCCAGACGGATTGCCATCCAGGAGGACGACGACTCCGAACAGGACGATGCACCTCTACACTGAGTGGACCCAGTAGACAGGAGCCATGGTCTCCGAAGCAACCTACACGAGGGCCTCGCAGGCTCGGAGGACCGGCGGGTGGTCTTGGTTTTGTGTGCTGGGGCACACATCACCAGACTTGTGTTCCTTCTGGCCAATGCGTGCCTTCGCTGCGGTTGCCGGCGATTGACCATGGGCTCCTGTGGTCTCACATACATGAGTGCTATGTAGTGTACAGTTGGTGTGTCTCCTTGTCCCTTCCGGCCGTCTCGCCTTCGTCATCCTCGGTCGCCTTTTGGGAGCACTGGGTTTGTGCTACCCCTTGGGTTGACCCCCGCCATACCATAGCGGTTTGCCTGCCGCGACGCTTCCTGCACAGGCCTGCCTTCTGCCTGAGAGGCGATCTGTACTGCCGAATAGGATGGTCTGGATTTCATCCTAGCCTCCCACCAGACGGTGGATTTTTGCTGCCACAAACAGGCACCAGTTCTGGCTCGTCATCCGGGTGCCCCCCCATGTACACGGGCCTTTCCGCTCTATGCAGATGTCTCAGTTGGAGTTTCCTGCACGTGCTATGGCAAGCCGATGGATCATAACAGCGCCTGTTTTGGCTGCGGGATCCTCGTTGCCCCAACAAGCGTAAGCGCGACTCCCCGGTGCCAAAAAGATGCATCGGTGGCTCAGGGGCATCTACCCGGGAGTCCGCTTCCACAACACTCGCCCTCGGACCAGATGCCTTCTGGTTCCGCTTTGTATGGATTGGCTGCGCTCTCAGCAGTCATTGTACCCATAGCTCGCAGCCTTCTTGGGATAGTCCTTGTTCTGCTGCTGGGCTTGCTTCATAATTCGAGCCCAGGGCGATCTTCCCCTTTACGGCAAACCCTATGCCTTCCCTTGAGAGGCGCCAGGCCACATTGGCTCCGACCCCTCGGCTCATTAGCGGGAACTGAGCCCGCACTCGATTGGAAGCCATGGGCTGATCGCAAGGGCCGTTTCGGCAGGTGGACTTATGGTACACGTAAGCATATCAGAGGCCGCTGGCTGTGCTCTTTGCTGATGGGATTACTTTCAGTACCCCATCCGGTTGCATGCACTGTTGGGGTGGCTATTTTCACTCTCCCGTTGGGAGCGCATGCTATGACCCGGCCTCCTGGTTTTGATATGTCGTCTGCTGCTAGCTCGGGTAGACCTCATCTCCCGTGGACTTCTCCACCCGCCCACGACACCCTAGACGACGAATGGTTGGGAGTGTACCTCTATACTCCGCATTATAAACCGATTTCGCTGGTTGTGCAGCCCAGGGCACGTACCTCCCAGTCGGTTGAGGAGCTGCTTCTTGCAGAGTCGCCCGGCGTCCCGTATAAACTCTTTAATGCCATTACTGCAATTAGGCCACAGATGTTTCCAGGCTATGCGTCTTACATCCGCTTTCCGGGCATTATAAGGGAGTCAGGCGAAGAGGGTTTTGCGGCTGTTATATGTGATCTCTCACGGGTTGGAGGCCACTACTTCGCCACGGCCTTGCCCAGGAAAATTGCAGTGCAGACACTCCTCGACTACCTTGTGCCTCTGTCGTGTCACGATGACAGACCACTGCAGGTGTACGTTGGGCACCATCCACGCCCCTGGACCACTCATACTTCAATCTCTTTGACGGATGGGGATGTTGTCATGGCCGTATACGAGCCAGGGATCCAGCCTTCCCGACACGATATCGGTGCCCTGTTCCTGCCCGGCGCCAGGTGGGGGCCGCTTCATTATTTCTTCTCCATAGAGATACACGAGGGTGCCTGTGTGCACTATAGAGATGAGCGCTACACCTTTCGACAGCGCAACCACTATGGACGTAACATAGTGGATTACATCTCTGAGCGCTTACGAATTGCCCCTGGGTCGTCAGTAATGTGCACCTTCCCCACATTAGGCCTGGATGTACAAGGGGTTGTTTGCAATGCCCTCATCGCGGTCAGAGATTTGCACCTCCCAGTAGTCAGTGGTGCCGCACGACCAGAGACAAGGGAACATTTTGTGCTCCTGGACTTCCGCCCCCTAGGGTACAGGCCTCGCACAATCTATGTTAGCCGTTCCTCGTTTCATGTTCCTACACTGCTGGCTGACCTTGATATTATTGTCCCCAGGACTGCTACCGTCGGGGTTCTCGGAGGCTCTAGACGGGGGAACGATGTCAGCTTCGAAGGGCATGCCACGCTCTTGTTTTATGCCGAAGGAGCAGGTCCGACTTCTGCCTCGGGGGAGAGGTCCATGCCTGTCGATGCACCTACCATCAGCAGGGAGACTACTGACCATGGCATTGACGACATGAATACGCCTATCACAGACAGGCATCCCTGCACTTCTGAGGATGCCAATGCGGCAACAGCACATTATGATACAACTATTCCGCCTGATCACAGCTGGAATGCAGGCCAATCTTCCTTAAATTCTAGGAGTAGCACAGTAGAGCACGAGGCTAAGCCTGCCACCGCCAGCGGTGGTCCGCTGCCACTCCCTGCACCAGCTGACCCAGAGGCTGCCAATGCTTATGATGGAAGTGGCTGGCCACATAGCGAATGGCATGCCAGTGCCAGCATCCACAATGTATCAGGCCACCATGGACCTAAGGAGTCAGAAGCCCTCCCTGATGCAGCAGAAGAAGTTGAAGGATCGATTACAATCCAGGCGATTGTTTATGTCCCGGATATCCTTCCAGAACTTGTGCCTGTCACTACTGTCCTGCCCTGTGCGGTCGACAGCTTTGTTGCGGAGGTCCGAAGGGGACGCGTCGCAGAGCATCAACACTGTTTTCAGGAGCTGCATCCAGTGACCCCGCAACCGCTTCTGGAGCAGGTAGTGTGTGTTGCAGCACCCAGTTGGCTGTTTGACAGCGTGATTGTTCTGTTCGACTGTCGTCGAATAGATCAGAGCATCTTTGCCGTGCAAGTTCACCATGCGCTCAACAGGGAATCCCTATTGCTCTCGGCGGGCCTGCCAGCTGATGCGGAGGTACATGTGTATGTTCACGGTTTGCTACGACCTCTGGCCCTTCAGCAGCGTATTACCCTCTTTTCGGGGATGACCATCAGCATCGCTCCGCGAGCAGAAGGTGCCCCTGCCAGCTATGATCTCCCTACTCGGTTGCTCACCAGGGAGGGTTGGGATGGCACTGTCGCTCCTCCAGGGCCCCGGACGCACCCTGGAAGCCATATGCGTGTCCTCACTGATGCCTGGCCTTTCACCTTTACAGTACGCACGGGTCGCCGCACCCACTTTCGAAAGGATATAGTGACCCTCATTGGAGCACAGGAGCACTTAGTTACCATTAAGTCAGCAAGACCACGTATACCAGATGGTTTCTTCCACGGCTTCTGGACCTCCGATGTTATGGTAGCCACAGAGAGGTTGTCACGTGTCCCATGTCCACCGGCACGACACCCGGACATGCGCTTGGTTCTGATTCTCGACTGCCGCAAGGTACTGCAAGGTATTACATGGCAGCTCAGGTCGGGACCCAGAGTC